TTACATACATACATACATACATACATACATACATACATACATACATACATACATACACGCGCACGCACACGCCCCTGCCACTGTGCTGACCTAAGAAATCAAGCTTCCCGGCGCTACTTACACAGCATCCCCCTTGGTCATTACATTACAGGGCTCTTCTCAAGACCGCTCAAGTTATCGCCAGTCGGACCTGACCACGTACAATAGCGCGGATTTCTTGCACGACAACATGGCGAAAAGGAGACCCCGTTCATACGTCGTGTGATACTCTTTGGTGAAAATCACGTGTCGTGTAGATCTAGTATTCCGGTTTGTTTTTGTTTTTTTCAATTTAAAAAAAAATTCGGACGTAAGGCCTGCAGTTGACAAGATGTAATGTGTTAATTTTTCATTGTTCATACTGTGAAAGTAAGTTTAGTCAATAGGAATATTCTTATTTATTCTGAAAGACATCACTTGATTGAAAGAAATCGTTTTTCCTGAAGATAGCATTTGGGCTTTTATTTCGTTCGTGTCCAGTCTTTGTGCAGAAGTAAATGTGTCGATACAGAGGGTTTATATGATGGGGGCGGGGTGGGGGTTTTTTTGGTTGTAAATTTGGTTTCTGGGTTGTTTTTGTTTTTGTTTTTGTTGTTTCTTGTTAAGTGTTTGCTTGTTTGTTTGTTTGTTTTAGTGGTATATACTTTCAGTTTGCGTTTGAAACCATTGCGAACACTATTCAAAGTTGTCAAGGTACGTGAGATACATAGAAAGAAAACAATTTTCTTTGAAAGATTTTAAATGAAATTTTAAATCAGAATATACGAGAAGCAATTAAAGGATGTTGTTTTTAAGTCTGAAAATTGATACCCTTATGATATGACCGTTATGCCCTGTCATAAAAGAAGTGGACAAACAAAGATTCGTATTATGAAATACGAGTCTTTCTCCATGGTTAGGTTAATAATAATATGATTGATTTGGCCTCTGATTGGCTGGTGATTCGTTTTGCTTTGTTTTGCAAGGTTGTTTAAGGGTAAGAGAATTAAAACATATATTTTAGAGATTAACAACTACAGTTCCTCGAATACAGATAATTGTATGACATACTGACTTACGTATTAGGATTCTCGAGTACGGGCGGGGGGGGGGTAGAGAATTTGTTTGTTTTGTTTTGCGATTAGTCATTTGAGCCACCTCCCTTTTAAGAATAACTCAAGATTAAGATAGATCTCTAATAATATCAATTTTTGTCGCCACATGTGATCTCAATACAGGCTACTGGATGTATAGTTCTGCGATACTTTTTCCTGGATTTGTCTGACTGCGTCATTTTTCGCTTTCGGACTCTACCATAATATTTTAGCAAAGTGCTTTAAGTGACACAAAAAGTCAATACATTTTACAGTTGTTACAATGGCCATGAAAACCCGTGATCAAGTCGCGGGCTCACGTGTGTCAGCGTGTATATTCTTCCTTATACTTTGCGTCATGACTGTGCCATGTGGAAGCCAAGGCTCTACCACTTCCGCTTCGAAGGACTTTAGGAATTCCCGCCAAAATCCCAGGACGTCGGGCCTGGGATCTTCAAAGGTAGACATGACTTCTCCGAATAGAGGTACAGCGACAACCATCACAGGTTCCACGTCCAGACCAACGGACTCGGGCGAAGTTTTCACAACCAGAAATAGTGTGTACTCGACGTCATCAAGTCCTGAGGCCAGGCAGAGTGTGGGAAGCACGACTTCAAGGAGACCGCCGTGGACACCCACAGATGACGTTGTAGTGTCTACCCGTCGTCGTGCCGCTGTGGTTACTAGCCCTTCTATACAAACGACCACAACGAGGACAATTTCGTCGTCGCTGTCATCGTCATCTAAGAGCCCTGACCAAAGATCATCGACTTCCTTTTATTTTACTGATACTACAGCTCCTCCTACAGCATCAACGACTTCATCGACTACATCAAGAGCGACAACAGCAAAAGCAACAACCCCCACACCGACAGCTGTATCTTCATCAACAACTACCACTACCACCACCACAACGACATCAGTAAAAACAACAGTCAAGACGACGGCGACGACAACAGCAGCAGCAACAACAAGAACAACGACTACACCAACAACATCGAAACCACAGAGCAGGTCCACCCCTCCCACCCCTCCTCCCAACCCTCCTACCCCTCCCACTCCTCGGACATCAAAGACGAAGCCTACAACGACCACAACAACAACTCCATCAGGACCAACAACAACAGCAGCACCGAGGTTTTGTAATCGCACCAAAACCTCGACTTACTTCACCAAGTGTCTTCCATGTGACGTAAAAGATTCGTGTCTTGATGGAGACTTTCAAGGTGATCGTACTTTTGATTCTGATAATAGCGGTAAAGTGCATAGAGCATGGTGTAGAGCATGAATATGCGCTGCATTAATTATGCAGTTATTATTATTATTATTATCATTATTATTATTATTATTATTATTATTATTATTA